TATCCCCCCTTCTCCAGCCCTCCCCCATGGTGGGGAAAGCTACTGCTTACCCTTGCCCCCTTCTTGACCAGCAGACACACCAGCTTCATGTGGCCGGCAGCTGCCGCGTAGCACAGGGCAGTCATGCCGTTCTCTGACATTCCATCCAGGCAGGCGCCGAATTCCAGGAGCAGAGTGACGACTTCCTCATGGCCCAGGTGAGACTGGACACATAGGATTGGGGCATTATTTAACACTTCTGTCCTGTAGTTCACGTTGGCCCCTCCCAAAATCAGGAGACGGCTCACCTGTAGGACAATGTCCCCCAACAAGATTAATTTTTCACACAGATGTAAATCTCAACAATATTTGTGGAGAAGGGCAGTATCTTTTTTCTGACGGCTATCTTTGATTTTTTGTATCATTTTAATCCAGTGGCTCTTGAACTTAAGTGTGCATGAGTATCACCTGGGACCATGTTAATAATGCACATTTCTCATCGATAGGAACATAAAATGGTGCAGCCCCAATGGCACACAGTATAATGGTTCCTCAAAAAAATTAAAAATAGAATTACCATATGATTCAGCAATCCCACTTCTGGGTATTTATCCAAAAGAACTGAAGGCTGGATCTCAAAGGGATATGTGTGCATCTATGCTCATTGTAGCATTATTCACAATAGCCAAGAAGTGGAAGCAACCTAAATGTCCATCAATGGATGAATGGATAAAGAGAATGTGGTATATACATACAATGGAATATTATTCAGCCTTGAAAATAAAAACATTCTGACACATGCTACAACTTGAATGAACCTTTAAGATATTATGCTAAGTAAAATAAGCCAGATACAAAAGGACAAATACTGTATGATACCACTTATGAGGAACCTAGAGTAGCCAAATTCAGAGAGATAGGCCAGAACATTGATTTCTGGGCCTGGGCAGAGGGTGAAATGAGAGCTGTTGTTCAATGGATACAGACTTTTAGTTTTGTGAGATGAAAAGTTATGAAGATTTAATGAAGAATAATGTGAATGTACTGAATTGTACACTTAAAAATGGTTAAGACAGTAAATTTTCTGATAAGCGTTCTTCACAATTAAAAAAATTTAGAAATAAGATATGCACATTCTCAGGCCCCACTGCCTGTATTCTGATGTGCAGATCTGGAGTGGAGCATTTTCAATGAGTTCCCAGGTGATACTGATGCTGGTGGCTTGGGAATCACATTTTGTAAAATCACTGTTTAACCTAAATAAAAACAGAATAGTCATTTTTCTGGCAGTGAAGTAATAATCACAGAATTAAATAATTAACAGTGAGATCAAGTCAAGAGAAAATACAGATGTTCTTTTCTTTACAAGGATGTGTCCCTGAAAGACAAGCAGAATTCATGGAAATGTTCATGTGCCCTGGGACTGCTAGCAGCATGACACTCCTAGAAAATAATCTGCTGCTTCTAATGATTACTGTATCTATCACCCACTAAACTCCTCGGATCCAGATATAAGGGAGAGTTTCCATCCACAGATTTAAAAATTAAAATCACTGAAGATATGCAAATTTTAGCTATACTAATATCTTTTCCAAATCTCCAGATCACTAGAAAAAAATGACACTCCTTTAAACACCTGTTAAGATGCCTAGTATGTTTTTTTCAAATGGTCACTTCAATGGTCCCGATCTGCATCAATCACAACCCTTGCCAAACCCTGGTAGGTCCCCCGGGCTGCCCACTCAGTGTGAAAACCACAGAGATGGTGTCATTTATTGACTAGAGACACACAGGGATCATTAATATACATAAAGATGACAAGGCATATAAAACTCAGGGTATTTCAGTGACATGTGTCTACAAGAATAGCTGAAAGAATATTTGCAAACTGATAGGTATGGGAAATTAATACTATCAGACGGTGAGACCATAACTCATAAAAACATATTGACAGGTTAGATCCCAAAGCGTGAGATTTCAAGACGTCCTGGTTGCTGCTGAAGCACGAAGCCCGTGTGATCCAGGCCTCCAGGCTCCTCTCTGACCTTCTCTCCAGACCTTCCCCTGGATTCCCTCACTGTGGCCACTTGGGCCCAAAGCTTATCCTGCAACAATGTCAAGCAGACCCTGTCTCCCAACCTCTGCCTGAAATGCTCATTCCAAAGATGCAGATGCCAAAGGATTGCTTGCTCTAGGTCTCTGCTCAGAAAATTACTCTACCTCTCTGTGCTTCAGGTGCTGTGAAGGTTAATTCTAGATGTCAACTTGGTTAGATGAAGGACTGCTGAGAAACCTGGTAAAGCTATCTTTTCAGGTGTGTCCGTGAGGGTGTTTACAGCAGAGATTAGTACGAGAGTCTGAGTGGCCTGAGTGTGAAAGACCCACCCTCAGTGTGGGTGGGAACCATCCAATCCACTGGGGGTCTGGAGAGAACAAAAGACAGAGGAAAGAGGTGAAGCTCTCTCTCTCGATCCGCTGGAGCTGTGATACACTCTTCTCTCCTGTTCGTGGACATCAAAACTTGAGACTCTTCAGCTTTTGGGTTCCAAAACTTACCCCAACGACACCATCAGCTTCCCTAGTTCTGAGGCCTTTGGACTTGGACTGAGCCACGCTACCGGCATCCAGTTTATAGACGGCCTATCGTGGGACTTTTCTTCACAGTCACGTGAGCTAATTCCCCTAATAAATCCCTCTTGTGTAATTATCACATATCCTATTGATTCTGTCTCTCTGGAGAACCCTGACTAACACAGGTGCCTTCTCAGAAAACGGTAATATGCCACCCATTCCACCTGATGGGTACTCTTCGCTGACACTGTGAAAGAAGGTATACTTTGAGCACTATGGTGAATACCTTATAAGAACTTAACTAGGAAGGTATGTTCTTAGGGGCAGAGCTTCCGTGAAGATGTTTGCCTTCAGTTCACACTCCATCTGCTACTGGGAACAACGTCTCCTTTGGTGGGACAACGCTGTGGGTATTTTCACCATTCTCATCAGGGTGTGGGCCTTCCCTTAACCCACGGTTCTTCACCCTGCTGCACACTGAAGCCACCTGGGAGCTTGACAGTTTCCAATGCCCAGGCCTCACCCCTGGAGATTCTGACTTGGCTGGGGCGGGGGCTCTGGTACTCAGATCTCCCAAGTGATTGTAGGTGGCAGCTGGCGCTGTAATCATGTCAGGTGATAAACACACCTGCAGACCATGGGCTTGCTGAGTGTCAGGTACCTAAAGCCGTGTGACTTGGGGCAAGCCACCAACTGCCTTAGACCATCATAAAGCGGGTTCCCTCATCAGAATAATGAAGATAAAAACAGTTTCACTTCATGGGGTGGTTGTAATGATTAAAAATGAACATGAAAAGTGTATGTATGGGCCGGCCCGGTGGCGCACTGGAGAGTGCGCCACTTGGGAGCACGGCAGCGCTCCCGCTGAGGGTTCAGATCCCATGTGGAGACCGGATCTGCTCACTGGCTGAGCGTGGTGTGGGCACAACACCGAGGATTGCGATCCCATTGCCGGTCCCCGGTACGGGCGCGACACCGAGGGTTGCGATCCCGTTACCGGTCAGTAAAAAAGAGACAAAAAGGAAAAAAAAAAAAAAAAAGTGTGTATGTACTCATAGAAATACATGTGTTTGTGTGTGTGCACAGCACTTAGCATCCTGTAAGTGCTAAATAAATACTAATTGCTATTGTTATAATCACCCTTTCATGGAGTCATGGGAAGGGACAAGAGCCCAGGTCCTGAAGGAGCTCTGCCCAAGGCACCTGGTGACCTGGAGGTCTGGTCTTTTGTCTACATCACCTTGTGTGCCCACTCTGGGCTGTTCACCAGCACAGACCAACTGGGAAAACTCATGCAGAGTTGAGAACAGATGTGAGTCACTAGGAGCCATCAAACCCTCAAGGCAGGCAGCTCCTGTTAATAACCACCACTAGGCACATCCAGAAATTCCCAGGTGCCTATAGCAGAGTCACAGTTTCCAGAGGTGAGGTGAAGCACTAATAAAAATAACTCACTTGAACATGTAATAAATGCCAAGTACTTTCCCAAGAATTTTAACACCTTGGTGAGGCTTCCTTTTTTTTTTTTTTTTTTTAAGATGACCGGTAAGGGGATCTTAACCCTTGACTTGGTGTTGTCAGCACCACGCTCTCCCAAGTGAGCTAACTGGCTATCCCTATATAGGGATCTGAACCCGTGGCCTTGGTGTTATCAGCACCACGCTCTCCCAAGTGAGCCATGGGCCGGCCCTTCGGTGATGTTTCTGATCTCTCTACAAGACGAGCTCTTCTTTTCTATTTTATAGGTGAGAAAACTGAGGCTCAGAGCAGGTAAGGCAAAGATCAGCTCTGAGCACAAAGCCAATTATGTCTAGAGCAGTCCAGCAGTGGAAGCAACATCTCTAACTAAGACTGCATTGCATTAAAAGAAGGTGTTTAAATGATCCGCCCTATAAATTCTTTCCTGAGTAAATGGAAATTTTCTGATCATCACAGAAGCCCTCCTTGGACAACACTTGGAAGTGGCAATATTATCTATAAACTTCTGGATTTAATGAATGCAAGAAAACAAAAAAGGGGGATGGAGGTAGGCAAAGCAAATGCAATTGTGAGGAACAGACATGGTGCTGGCCTGCATGGCACTTTGTAGTTTTCTAGCTAAGTATATCCTCCTCTCCTCCCAGTCCTCCTCTCCTCCCTGCCTTCAGAGGAGAAAAGAATCACAACCCGAATTCTCCTGAGGCCACGGTCTGTGGCTGGCAGCCAGTCCTAAGAGACAACACTAGCAAAACAACCAGCTGGATTGGAGCCTGGAGGCACTGGCACCAATGACCACACTGGGCCAGCCAGGCCCTGGCTGGCATGACCCTGGTCCAGCAACAGCAAACTACCTTGCTGGAGATCACTGGCATGCCACTGAAATTAAAATATGTCTAGCAAGTAATCATCCCAGAGCAAGTTGCTTTAATTTACCAAAGTGGCAAACTGCAATTATTGCTCAAAATGACATTCATTGCTGTATGACAACATTTAATACTCTCTAAAAAAAGTTCCTTAATTGCATGCATAATTTTAAATTACTGTAATTTGTTCAAGATTCTGTGAAAACCTTTTTTTTCCCCTTTGAAAGATAAAAGAAACAGAAGGATAATGAAAAGTCTTAAGATTCTATAACCAAGTTGTGTAATTTGGGGGATGGTGTACATGTAGGTGCCACTTGAGTTTTATCAAACAAAGTAAAAATGAATAACTCTTAAAACTGCACGTATGTTAAAGAGAAAAGTTTATAATCCCAGGA